GCACTCTCAAGTCAAACATGCACAGTCTCTGATGTCTGCAGACAAGGAAGCACTGACTCTCTCCCTCACTGTGCTTGCTGCCTCTGCCGCCCCTTGCTGGAGGAAACCTGTGAGCTGACACGAACAAACCAAGTCATTTGTCTCTTCTCGTTCTGTTTCTGTCTTCAGCTCGTGGTCGTACCAACCTGGAGCTGAGGGAGAAGTTCATCCTTCCCGAAGGAGCGTCTCAGGGTCTGGCCGCCTTCCGCTCTCGGGGTCGACGCTCCAAACCGGGCTCACGCAACGCCTCCCCCACCCGCTCCTCCTCCTCGGCCTGGCGGCCCTCCCCTCCCGTCTGCTCCTCCCGCCCCGGCAACCCCGACAGCCTCCGCATCATCTAGGGTAAGAGCTGAGCGCAAGACTTGAACAGCTGAGTCCATCAAATTTCAGAGAAGGATCTAATGTTAGTGATGTATTGAATCTATTTTATGCACCTCATGTTTAATTATAACACTACTTTAATAACACGAAGCATTTTATGAGTAATAGCAGTTTTACAGAACACAACCAACTCTCACTACATTTTATAATAAGATGTTTAAGAAATAAATTTGGTAAGGAATAATCTATTGTAGCCACCCCCCCCCCCCCCCGCTGACAGCTCCAACAAACAGACCTTTAACTGAAAACACAGAGGAGTCACACACACACACACACATCCACACAAACCTGAGTGATCCCTTGCAGCTGTGCACACTGTCTCTGTCCCACTCTGTTCTATGTTTGAATTAATAAAGTCATAGATTACACAGAACCGCACCAGGACATACTCATAGCCCACTGACTTAGAGGTGGTGTCTCTCTCACACACACACACACACACACACACAGATATGTAGTGCTGGTCGTTCCTTATTGTTTAAAAGCGTTACTGTTGTGTGTGTGAGGCCGACCACACACCGGTGGCTTTGTGTTTCTGTGGGTGTTTCTGTGGGTTTATGCTGCACATTGTTCAGTTGTTGTCATCCTCCTGTTGTTGTTGTCAAAAATCACCACATCCTTAACTGTGAACTTTTGTTCTTGTTTCTGTTTTTTCTTTCACCTTTTTGCCTTTTCACCTTGTTCCCGTCATTCATCCTGCTAACCTGCCTTCAAAAACGTCCTCCCTTCATCGTTGGGTTCTCTGTTAAAATAAAATAAAAACAAAATAACCTGCTGTCACACAACAACACACTGTGCTGCACTCCCTCCCTAATTCCCTCCCTCCTGCTGCTTCCTTTGCTTCTCTCCTTTGCTGCTTTGCTCTCCACCACCACCCTTCCTTCCTTCCTTGCTCCCTTTCCTTCAGTCCTCCCATAATCACTCACGTGACTATGCCAAGCCCTGGCTGACACACAGTAAAAGTCCAACGCCAACCAAGTGCCACTGCTGCCCAGATCTCGGTCACAGCCACAGCACTCCTGGGCACGAGGTAACACAACCACCCACCCACCTTCCCATCCCACCCGACCCCACCCCAGCGAACACGCTGATGCACTAACGCTCAACCTGCCCCAGAGAACGTTTTGCTGCTGCCTCTGAAAACTGAATTTTAGTGGGATGATGACTTCATGTCCTGAAGGTTGTGAACATTTTCTGACCTTGAATTTGAAAATAAACATGTGGTTCAGCTAAAACCTGACAGATGACATTATGAAGATGCAAGGTTTTAATTTGAAGAGGAAAAACATTCTGTAAAAGTACATTCATTTCTTTAATATGCTGTTTGGGCAGCTTTGATTTGAAAAACATGGGAAAAAGCTATTCATGCACAAACTGAGGTCAAGCTGTAAACTTTTCAGATTTGTTATTAATCATCGATAATGTAGAACTGAAACTACATCATTTTGGAGTTGATTAATCATTAGTCATTTTGTTTATCAACTCAGTGCTCTACTCTTACACTAAAAAAAGCCTTTCACAGTTACCTAGTAATATTCACATTTGTAAATGTTTGTTAAAACATCTGCGTGTAAAGCTTTTGTTTATGTTGTAGGTCTTTTGTCCAATGTCCATGTCGATGTGAAGCGCCGTTTATTTTATTAGGAGTACATTGTGCACGCAGTGTTAACATAGTGTGTGTAATGTGCTGCACGTCACTGTAGCTCAGCTCCGCAGTGGAGTTATCCTCAGCTCGTGTCTGTGCTCCTGCAGGGGGCGACGTCAGCCTCCAAACTGAAGAGACCGCCCCTCCACTCAAGCAGAGGATCCCTGAGCGGAGAGAACGGAGGGCACACCAGCAAACCAGGGCGAACTGGTGAGACAGCGGTCGTGTTTAGGCTGTGGATGTCAGTGGAAATGAAAAATGTTTTTCAGCTTTTTGCTCAGTCCTCCTTCCCATGAGGCACGTGAGGCTGCAGTGCTTTGTGCCTGAAGGTTCATGTCAACATGCTCACACACTAGCATGCTGATGTTTAGCAGGCACAGTGTTTACTATGTTTTCCATCTGGCTGGAGCGAGTTAACATGTATACATCAGCTCATTAGCACCCAGTATAAAGTACAGCAGGGGCTGATGGGTAGATATTTGCTCACTGGTTCTTAAGTAGTTAAAATTCTGATGATGGCACTAGATGAAAGGTTAAGGGGTCTCCAAGTCCGTTAGTCATCCTGAGGGGCATAAGATTTTGAGATGAAAGGTGAATTTTTTCCCAATAGTTGTTTTGAGATTTCAGTTAAAACCAAGATCAAAATCTCACAGTGTCACTAGAGGATGTTTGTACAAACGTTGACCAATGCAATGAGTAGAAGTTGAAAGTCAGGGGTTCAGCTAAATCAGTAGGATCTGTCTTCAGGAGACTATCGATGTGTGCACAAAATATCTTGGTCCGGTTGTTGAACTGAAATGGTGGACCAGTCGACCGACCAACATGTTGTTACAATACTTTTAAACCTGAATGTGATTCATTTAAAGTAAATCACCTGCTTTGGACAAAACCAAGACACTTTTTTTTGCACTTTTAAACTCTTTTCCCTCCTCATCGTCATCTGTTCTGTCTTCCTTTCAGACCCAAAGCGAGGGGCGGCCACTGCCAGCGGTCCAACCAGCCGAGCCGGCAGCCGGGCCGGCAGGCGGGGCAGG